TATATATATATATATATATATATATATATATATATATATATATATATATATATATATATATATATATATATATATATATATATATATATATATATATATATATATATATATATATATATATATATATATATATATATATATATATATATATATATATATATATATATATATATATATATATATATATATATATATATATATATATATATATATATATATATATATATATATATATATATATATATATATATATATAAGTGAAAAAACTATTGTAAATATATAAGCATATATTATTAAATATATTTGTAAAAATCAATGTAAAACTTATGTGGAAAACTTCTTTTTTAAATTAGAAACAAATATTATAAAAATATAAAAACGGAAATATTTTTTTAAAAACAATAAAAAACTAAATGTAATTGTATGAGGATTTGCTTATTTATTATGCAGAAATAGTATATATAATTTGTAAATAATTGTTATTTTGTTATAAAAAAAAAAGTATAAAATATATAAGGTAGTATAAACAGAAATAGAATATAGCAAAACATTTGCTAAAAATAAAATATTTTTGTACTAAAAAGTAGAAAATAAACTTTTTAATTTAAATTTAATAGTTCCGTAAACTAAAGATTGACAGGTCTTATTTAGAAACATACCTGTCAATCTTTAGTTTACGGAACTATTAAATTTAAATTAAAAAGTTTATTTTCTACTTTTTAGTACAAAAAGATTATTTTTTTAGCAAATGTTTTTGCTATATTTTCTTTTCTACTTTTTAGTCTTTACAGAGAGTTACAATATTTAGCAATGCGTTTATCAAGACGTGTGTAATTAAGTCGAGCTTTTTATCCAAAATAAACGGAGTATTTGCTGATAAAAGAAGCAGAATATTTTTCTTATAAAAGATAAAAATTACTACGGATGTAGTATATTTTTATATTAATATCAAACTAAGTTATGTTACTTTGTTTTATCGATAAAACATTCCACTTATGACTTCAATAAAACCATTAAAGACGGACGACGCTTATTTCGCGTTAAACATTGAAATACATGGGCAACGAATTATGCTCAGCTTTGCTGGAAAAGAATTCTTTTGTCGGATTTGCGAAGGAACCCACATCCCGAGAGAAAGATGTAAAACGAACGGCAAAACAAATGTGACAGATAACACTGTGCAGATAAACTTTACAATGAAATAGATATTTTGATAGAAAATGATAGTTTTAAACTTACTTGGCCTACATGGGACTGAAATAGTGATACAATTTTATTTTCGTTCAGACAATCTATTTTTTCAGAAAAGTTTCAATGCTTCCTAATTTAGTTCTCGGAGAATGAATGAATTGAAGCTCTATACTTGGAATTTTCTCCTCTCTCCTACAATTGTATTTTATATAAATTTTTTCCATACATTCTGAAGCACATTTATACTCTGAACAAAGAATTAATTTACATTTGCATAGTAAAATGTCCACAAGTTTGTCTAATTTTAAAAAAAATCTTGCTTTTTCAGCTTTTTTACGACGTCCATTACTAAAATCAACAGCCGTATTCCATAAATATTTTAGCTTTTTAGAAATTGTTTTTTGATGGATTACAACCGGATATACAAAAAGTGCATTTGCCTTTAACCATTACCAAGTACAGCTGGTACCATAACAGCTACTAGATGATCTGCAGTATAGTTCCTCGTATTTTTTTCACTAATTTCTCTTAAAAGTATACCATATCGTAAAACATCTCTGGCTGTTGGAAGCTCAGATACATAAAGTTCTTTTCCATTGGGGGTTGTCCATAAAGTACGTACACTAATAGGGGGAGGGGGAAGGTCTTCAAAAAACGTGCGAAAGCGTATGGGGAAGGAAGGAGGAGTGAAGGGGGGGGGGGGGAGGAAGAGGGGGGGGGGAAGAAAGGGGGGGAAGGGTTCAATTTAAAAATACGTACATCGATTTTTGAACTTATCACAATTAACCAGTATCAATAGAGAACTAATCAATAGAGACTAATCAATAGAGAAGTTAAAATTCTGACTAAAAATCCTAGTTTTCCAACATAAAACGATGTTTGGTATAGGGAGTAGAGCGTATAGTTTTCCTCAATGCACACAATTGCATGGGGGCCCGCAAGATTTTTTGATGTTCCAGATAAGACACTTTCACACATTGTGCAAACTCCAAACTTAAGTATGTTTATACCTATGCCAAATGAGGAGGCCTTGCAAAAAATTAAGAAGGCGATACTTGGGAGCAAAAAAGCATCCCACCCCCCTCTAAAATGAAGGGGGTGAAAATTTTGTATGGTCATAAATTTTGTAATTTAGAATATTTCTCTACGAAATTTAAAATCTGTCGATAAATTTAAATTTAGTTTTAGATGGTAAATTTAATTTACAATATTTCTTTACAAAATTTAAAATCTGTCGATAAATTTAAGTTTAGTTTTAGATGGTAATGTTGAAATTTTACTACATTTGTGCGTGCTTAAGCAGGGGAAGGGGGTTGGGGGAGGGCCAGCGTTTTAGGGCTTTTTTGTTCCCAGGTCTCCGCCATGCAAGGTCTCCTCATTTGGCATAGTTTTATTATATTTCTTTAACTTTTTTTTTTGCTATATAAATCTATTATAGTCGTAAATCATAAAATAAATGCAAATAGCAGGGGCAAGAAGACATAATTGGTCTTATCACCAAGCCATAGCCAAGTTATACTTGAGCATGCACAAATTTCACACATTTTAGAGCATGCACAAATTTCACACATTTGACATAGACATACTTATGTTTGGAGCTTTTGCGAGCTCCAAACTTAAGTATACCTATGCCAAATGCGTGAAAGTATCCTATCTAGAACATCAAAAAAACGTCCGCCTTAAGTACAATTTATTTAATTTGATTTGTCATTAA